TACATTAAACCTTTTTAACATGAGAGAAATCAAACAACAAATATATAAGATGTTTTAGGTTTGATGGCAAACCTCCATCACCAAATGACTCAAGTAGTGGACAATCATTTCTATTTAGGTCAGTAAGAGATGGAAGGAGGATGTGCACGAGTCCTGGCAATGCTTTTAAATTCTCCAATTTTTCAATTGACAGAGATGTGAGATTACGGCCATGCTCCTGTGATAGGATTTCAAGATTACTACACTTTTTTAAAGTGAGCGAACGGAGTTTTGGGAAGAAATCCAGCGGCAAGGTCCTTAAAGTGTCACAACTACCGGTAATGAACAATTCTACAAGGAAATTATAGAAATGATGTAGGGGAATATTCATATTTGGGCAATCTTCAATGCGTAACTTTTCAAGACAGGTATTAGAAATGGTGTGCCCAATCCTTTCAAGCAACGATCCTTCCATGTAGCATCCACCAATTTTGAGAATTTTCAAAGTAGGTGGATCATGATCAAATCGCACCTTTCCACAATTCCATACATCTAATTCTTCAATGGCTGGAGCCCAGGAAACAGAAGCCACAAGATGTTTGCAATTATAAATTTTTAGTTTCACTAAAGAAGTAAGTTGCTTTGGCAAGTGCCCTTTAACCTTGGGACAATTCACTATACAAAGCTCTCGAAGACGTGGAAAAGCACTATTAACAAATTTACATTCCCATTCTTCCCATCTATCCATATCCTCGAGGATCAAGGTTTCCAGGGATTGAAATGAAAAAATAGAAGAAGAGCTACTCCCGTAAAACTCGGCGCCAATAACCACTATCCCACGAAGTCCTCTAATTGATAGATTCTTGAGAGATTGCAACAGTCCAAGGGGAGGCAATAAGACACAATTTTCACAGTTGCTCAACTTTAAGGACACCACGTTGGATAATGAATTATCTCCAAACCAATCTGCAAATCGTGTACCACCATAGTTCCTGACTAACAGCTCTTTCAAGTGTTTGGAAGGTTGTAGCTTCTCAAGTATTTCCCTTTCTTTCTTTGAATCATCATATTCATGTAATCCTTTCCATCCTAAATACAGGCTCACAAGGTGTATTTTAGTTTGACAAATTTGCAGCTAATGCATCCATAGGATTGACAATATTCTGCAAACCCCAAATGGATAGTGTTCCATGCAGATTGAGTTCTCCTAACTGCTGAATATTGGACCCTATACATTTGCCCACATAAAACGAAGTCAATACTTGAAGATTCTTTAATTTTCCCAAATGTATTGGCGTCTTTCTCAAGTTAGTTCCTGTCAAATCAAGGTGACGCAAATTTGTGAGTTTATGCAAATTCAAGGGCAGCTCATCCAAATATTCACAATACATCAACTTCAGTATTTGTAAGTTGTAGAGCAAACATATCGAATCAGGTAAATTTTTGATTTTAGTATGAGAAAGATCCAAATAACGAAGAAGTTTAAGATTGCCTATAGAACCAAGCAACTCAATCACTTTGTAATCACCACGCAAAGATAAGACACGTAAGGACTTGAACTTGGAGAACAAGTCCTGCATCTGCATGCCAGACATCCACAAAAGTGAATAATTGGAACTCCCACTTAATGGTAGAAACGTACGTAATCTGATAGCATCCCATAAACCCTCAGACACCTTAAAGTAATAGTTGGAATCAGTTACGGAAAATGAAAAATGACGAGTCATTTTTGATACTTTTTGAGCTACTCCAACTTCCAACCTAAAACAAAAATCCCCGCTTATATATTTTGCCAAATCATTGAGAAGGTCATGCATCACAAAATGAAATTCATCTCCCCCAGATTGTTGGAAAAAAGACCTTGATAACAGATCATCAAAATATTGTTCACCAACTTCTTCCATACTCTTACTGTGTTGAGAGCATTGCAGAAAATTTTCAGCCATCCACAGCATAATTAAATGCTCCTTTTCAAACACAGTCTTTGGGGAATAAGGCACAATAAGCAAAGCATCTCTTTAGATGAGAAGGAAGGTGGTGATAGCTCAGTCTCAAAGCAGGAATAATATTGCTATCCTCTTCTCGTAAGTCCCATATCTCACTTGTCAGTATACAATTCCATTCCAAAATTGATGACGTTGTGTACAAGAGACTTCCAATTGTTTTCAAGGCCAGAGGCAATCCTTCACATTTCTTAATTACCTTTATACCAACATCGTTAAACTCACCATTTAGTTGATGATTTTCATTTTGGCATGCATGTTTAGCAAACAATTGCCAGCAATGCTCTTCTTGTAATTGCTTGAGGCTATGTATCTTATCTAACCGCATAGTTAGAGCAACTTTATTACTGCGCGTGGTGACAAGAATTTTGCTTCCCCAAGCCCCATAATCAAAAGGAGTTTGCAAAGCTTCCCATTGCATGCGGTTTTCATTCCAAACGTCATCCAAGACGAGAAGAAATTTCTTTTCTGCCAATTCTTCCTTTAATTTTAATTGAAGCATACTCAAGTCTTTGGTATCATCAGAGGATCTTGTGATTGCCTCAAGAATTGCCCTTGTTACCTTAAAAACATCAAATTCATCTGAAACACAGACCCAAACCTTGACATCAAATTCTCCTTCCATCCTAGGATCATTGTATAAATGTTGGGCAACCGTGGTTTTACCCATCCCGCCCATACCCACTACAGAAATGATTGATAGCCGGTTATCATTCTTTGAGTGAGATATCAGCCAATCAAAGATAATTTCTTTGTCATCATCTCTACCGTATAAAACAGTTTCACCCAGCAAAGATGAAGTAGGCAAATTTTGTGACACATGCCTACCTGATCCAACACCAAAACCACTAGCTTCTTTCAAACCTAGTATATCCTTTTGGCTTGCAAGATATTCTAGGTTGTCAAGGACTTGTTTCATCCTAGATTCAATTTCCTTGTCAAATGAGCTAACAGTCACAGAAGCACTACAGAAGAAACTCCATACCTTGCAAGTATTGATCTGAGATTCATCTTCCAACTTGCATTTGGAGACTTTAGTGTCTATTTTAGCAACGAGATCCTCTGCATCAAACACAGCATCTTTGACCTTATCAAGCCATGCTTTCACATGTTGGTTTCTGAACTGCTTTTGTTCTGCATCATCAACCACAGCATTGATATACAGCAGCGAGCTGTTGAACTTGTTCAGCAGTGTCTCATTGAGATTTCTTCGTTGAAAGTAGCTCACAACTTCAGCAGAAGCCAGCTTCTCAAAGGCAACTTGAAGGAAAGAAGAAAGAAGAGCACCACCAACCAATTCTACTGCCATGGTGGGAAATGGATGGACTGAATCGGAAGTAGAAAGGATTACAGCAATTGGCTATTTTCTCAGTGATGTCTTTGAAGATCACTTTCCTTGATGACTAGCCAACCAATATTTGTTGAGTCTTCATGGAAAGACAAACGTGTAGAGTTAGGAATGAGTGGCTAAGATCTACTGAGAAAAATCATGTGTAATCTCTTTAAGATATTTTCTCAAGAGTCCAGACCTTTTTATTTGTCATGTCTTTATTTGATTTGTCTAGCATCAGTTTCGTTAAAACTCAGCCATAATTTTCTGTTCGTTTCTGAAACTTGAATGCATCACATTGTCAAAGTATGCACTGTCGGTTTGATTTTGCTTATCTGCTTGTAAGTGGGCTCAATCATGAGAGAATTTATCGTGGTCCGGGACCACCATTTTTTTAGGTGGTCCCTTAGTGTAAATGAAAGGGTAAATTTGGAAAAGAAGAAAAATAGTAGGGGTAAAAAGGGAAAGAAAAAATTAGTGTTGTGAGAGGGAGCACCAAATCATTGGGTGGTCCTGGAGCATATTAAATATTTCCCTCAATCATTTTTATGTAAGGGAATAATATTTGAAAAAAGTGTGTGTCATTTAAAAGGATGTAAAGTTATGTCATTTTAAGAAAGAGAAACAGATAGATAAAGGAGGAGAGAGAGTTGACAAAAAAAATAAAGTTATGAGTCTCACCTCATTGTGAGAGTGAAAGGATATAAGTTGTGTCATTTAAAAGAACAAACACTTTTCCCTTAATATTTATAGGTTTTATGTTTATTATTTTACATAACATAACTTCACTTTCCTACACATATATTAAAGAGGTGAGATCCACATGTTTTTCTTTCTCTTTCTCTCCATTATTACGTGTGTTGGAAACTAAACTTATGTTATGTAACATAACATTAATAAAACCCAATATTTATTGTATAGAAAATAATATTATTTTTTTATAGTTATATCAAAGTTATATATGGTCCATCTGTTTTTCTCTTCACATTATTCATCATGGCTCCCACACATTTTAATATATGTATATGAGATAATTTTATTTTCTATAATATAAAAAACATTTATTCTTTTATATATAACCTTTATGTATATTTAAAAAGGGATTAATATGAGATATTTTATCTCCTACACATACATAAAACTGTGGGACTCATGGGATCGTCATATGAAGAGAAGAAAAAGAAAAAAAATATGGATCCTACATATTTTTATGTGTGCATGAGATAAAATTATCTTTTATGACATGAAAAACACTAATATCATGTATAAAATATATAAATGGAAAAGTGTTTTTTCTGCTATTGGAGACAATTATCTCCTATAATCACAAAACTACGTTGTTTTGAAGCTTGAATTAATGAAAGATACTTTGAGAATTTTATTTATTTTTGTTACAGAAAAATATTTCTATAGTTACTGCAGATAAGATATCTGGATTTATTCCCAAAACGATGTCGTTTTGGTGTTGAAATATTAAAAAAATAATTATAAAAACTATTACAATCCTGAAATAAATTAAAATTACAAAACACCTTAATTTTTGCCCCAAAACGACGTGATTCAATGCAGATAATTTATCTGCATTCACTGTAGAAAAAATGAACCTTTTTTGTTATGAATTTTACCAAAATAACTTTTATTAGTTTCTCCAAATCTCGCAGGAGATAACTTTCTCTCATGTGATAGAAGAACTCATATATAAAATGATAATTATAAAAATACAAAGACTATCGTAACTTTGTACCTGTCATGCTTACAAAACTCACATTTGGTGCGCTACATGTAATCACCGCAATATAGCATACATCCTTTTGGGCAGCAATGAATCTTTGTGCATCCGAGCCCAAGCTCTTTCACCTTTCTCTTTGCTTGGTAAAAATCCTTCGCCAAATTATTTTCTTTAGGAACAACCTGACGCATGAGTTGCATCCAGCCATTGTAAGCAGACTCACTCATATGGTGATCACTCTTCAACTGTAGTGTTGCTAGGGTTGCTGATAGCGTTGTATGTTCAGTATGTTGAATATGTTCACAACCTTCCCATAATGGACGTTGAGCATCTTGAAGCATGTTGTAAAACCTTTCCGCTTCCGGATTAGGATCCTCTGCCATGTAGGATGGTTCGACATGAGTATCGGGTTCAAAATTTTGCCCAATCGACGGTCCCGCAGCATCCATAACCAACTGTTCATATTCATTGAGGTTGTTTCGCTGGCTAGTTTCCCCATAATAACCTCCTTGAATAGCATGTGCCTGCCGAATTTCCCCATGGATATGCCAACATTCATAGTCCGGCATGAAGCCCTTTCTACACAGATGCTCCCTGACTTGGTCTGGCGTTTGAAATTTAAAACACTTACATTTCACACACGGACAAATGATAACGTCACTTGATGTACCTATTTGCTCCAGAGAAAATTGGATGAACGTTTCCAAACCCTCCAAGAATGCTCGAGTTAGTTGTCTTCTATCAGTTAGACGATTGTACATCCAACTCCTATCATGATCGTCTTCCATACTCCTGATTATATAGTAAGTGTGGAATTCAAATACCAGCAAACACCGAGTAATTGCCACATACATGATGCAACTTACTGCAGCAAGTGGCAAACAAACACATGCATTCAACAATTCCAGCAAGCAACCAGAGAATGAGGGTAGTACACCAGATAATGGAGACATGCATTTAGGGGGAGCAAACAAAGAATGGGAAAGTACACAAGATAAGGGGGACATACTATGCAACATGGGGCATTACATATATACAGCTATGTCATCACAATACAAGCATGCAATTATTTTTCATTCAAAGTTTGTTACCTGAAAGACCTAAAGTAAAAAATCTCAGCGAACGGTCGATGCAAATGTGCACAAGAGAATATATGGCGAAATGTCTCCAACTGCACCAAATAAGCCAACCATTTGTTATTAAAAGATAATATACTATTCCCCCACAAGTGGAGATCAAACCACCCCACCGCTTCTCTTTCAGCACACACAACTTTAAGTTATTTTTCTGATCTTGTTATAATTATTGCTCCTTTTAGATATAGATAAGATCATAAATATCTAAAAGAAGTTGTATATATACTGAAATATCTACTACAAATATTGTATCATTCTTAAAGATAATACAATCTGTGAGGGCAAAACCATGACTTAGGATGCACCGAATCCAAAATTTAATAATGATCGTTCCATATCATGACATATATATAAATAGCAAGCATAAAAGATCCCTGGCTTTTACCTTGAGGGACTAAGGAAATTCTCTTTGTATTAGTGGTGGAGTAGGTGGGTTCACCTTTACCTCTTTTGGAAAGATCTTTTATTACTTTAGATAGTGGCCTATCTGGAGTATAGTATCCCTTAAAGAAACTGCTTGAACTAGAGGACTAGATGGTTTGATTATAGACAAAACAAAGTAGGACTTGTTATAATCAGATCATGGAAATTGTGTAGATGTGAGATAAATTGTTTTTATGCATTATATGTTGAGCATTGATGGTGGGGTCCTTTAGGCTAGGTTAGGAGAATAAGCAAATTTTTTTAATAATAAAAAAATAAAAGATAAACATAAGCTACGTTAGATTCAATTTGAGTTTAGTTTAGTTTTTACATAAATAGGTATCCCTCTTCGTATTATGTGCTTTGTGGGCCTTGTTTACTATTACTTTAATTTTCTTTTTTAACAAATAAAACAAACATAGCAATATAATAATTGTCTTTACATGTAGCTAGGCTTCGTTGCTTTTCTTTAAGATTAGGCTAGGTGTTGCTTTTCATTAAACATTGTATGAATAAATAAAAAGTACCTGTATACTACTTGCTAAAACAATACTATACGGCTAAAACAAATAATATTTATTTCCATACGTGCAATATAGTACATTTATTACAGAATTATGTTCATAAAAGAGGATGAATTACAAGGTACCTAAATAAACAATGATTTCTAAATTCATTGTATAAATTGACGCATCTATTTTATAAAACAAAAAATCTAAAAAAACAAAAACAAAAAAGCACAGAAAAACCATTTTGGCCACTTCGAAAGACCAACCATTGTGGCACAAAAAAAAAATATATAGAGGCCATTACAAGAAAATATATAACAAGAAGCGCTAAACAAGTATGACAACTATATGTTTTATTTGTTTCTTTACAAGAAAATTTATTACAAATGAAATTCAACTAATTACATCAAATTTACACAAGCATAAATTGGATGAGATATGTCATATCTACGCACAGGAAAAAAAATCAAAATAAAAGCCAAAGTACTTTAATACACAATAACGACCATAGAAAAGAAGCACATAAATTATAAACTTGATGGGATATAATCACATACCTCTTTTAGTGCGTCCAGAAGTGTAGATTGTGATGAATAAAAAGGAGGAAGATAAACGACACTGAAAAAAAAGGGGAAATGGAAAGTGTCTAAGAGGCAAAACCCACGTCGTCTGTTCTGACCCTCTTTTTCTTTATCTAAATAATAAATTTAGATGCTACCAATAAGTAAGTTACTTCACTGATTTCATGTAGTTATACTCTAGGGATCTATATGACAGAAATTCAGAAAGCACGATTAAATAGGTTCTTAGCCTTATATTTTATTTGTGTTTTCAAATAGGTCCTTTGTAGTTTAGCTAAAGTTAATGACCATTAACAAGAACTACGGACCTGTTTAAAACTTTTTAGAAGTATAAGGACTCTGTTAAAATCTCTTAATCATATTTGAATATTTAGTGAAATATGCAAAAATAAGATTTTGCACGAGGATTGTTCTCGTGCTAAAGTGATTTTATAACGACCTATACACCTAACAGGTCCATGGAAGTTGTAAAAATTAACAATTATTAGGCTTCAAGCCTTTGAACCATATAAGAGATCATGCTATCAGCGTTCAACAGCCGTCATGATTTCTTTTTTCCTTTCTATTTCAGCTTAGCTATACCATTAGAGGACATATCATGTATATTTAAATCGAGTCTTGGATCATACAACAGTCAAGACCCGTAAAGCAAATGAATAACTATCACTACATAGCTGGCAACTTGGATCAGTATCTTGATGCAGAGGCCACCTGAGGTTAATGCAAGTAATGTTTGTCACATGCAACATGAAGAATTTTGAGAGCATAGATAATCATAACGAAAAAGTTGGCACACTGCAAGACAATATAGACTAATTAAGGTCTCATACTAGAGAATGTGGAAGGGAAGTGTAGTAGCCTATAACAAAAAGTACTTTCCTTACTCAATACCAAATGCTTAAGGTCCAAGCTAAATAATTGGATCTTGTTAAATGAGACAATTTCGATTCTGAAAAAGCTTCACTTGGTTAACCTTTGAAACAAGGTGTGAATATGTCATGGCTTAACCTCTAAGATCCTGAAATCTCACCACTCTATTTCACCATCCAATTCACCCTTAGGTTCCCATTTAACATAAATACTGTCCTAAACCAAACATCTAAAATCCTTAGACTAAACATTAATCATGATAAAATGAAAATCAGAAGCTTAAACTTTTTTCTCTGACCATGTCTGAAATTTATTTTGCAAACCATATCTTCCTGTTTCACACTACAACTCATTGATGATTGTGAACCATCATCTATCACCAAAGAAACAAAGAACCCCAGTCAGTACACTAATCTCATGGCTCCATGTTCAAAACACTATAAAATAGCAGAAAACATGAAGAATTGAAAGAGGGAGGGAAGCAAATTGAAACCCAAAGAAGCAAAAAAAAAGAAAGAAAGTTCAGAGCTTGGGAGGAAACTTGTAACCCACTCAAACAAAGGAGCCTTGAAAATAACTAATCATCAGCAAAAAGAACAAGACAAAGAAAAGGACTCGTTAAAATCTAATAGAAATCCAATTCTTGACAGCTGGATCACGTGTTAATGAGAATTAAAGAGTGTAACTGAGCACACAAGGTTTTATTGAGTAAATTCGTTTGCATATGCGGTGCCCTCATACATGAATTTGAAATTACCAAGACCATTTGATGGCCAGGAAGTTGTACCAGTCACATAATTTACATTCCAAAATCCAAAAGTACTGCACTTCACATACTGTATCTCTTAATTAGGACCTCAATTCGCTTATAATGATACTTTGTTCCCCACATTAGGGTGATCATTGACAAGCCGCTAATTGCATACGTGTTATCTTTCAAACTTGTTCAAAGAGGATCTCAGACAATTAATTATTCAAGTTATATTATTTCCTACCCCTCAATCCACTATCCACGATTGAATTTCCTTAACGACAATTAATTATTCATTTTTATATGTTTAGACCCATGAACCTAATATCTTTATGTTCCTGTCATAAAGTAAAAAAGTACTGCATAATGACTAGAGTTTCTCGAGCTTTTTGATATATTTCGAATTATATAAATATAAAATACTGATGCATGTGCTAACAGAAAAACAATGTGAAGAACCTGCACGTTGAGAAGATAAAGACCACCCAAGCAACCCACAAGAATTATGATAGTAAAACGACAATATGGTGTCATTATCAACACGGGGTCCACTATTAATCTACCCCTGGCCTGGCTTTCTTTAACTTTTTTTTAACAACCGTAGGGAATCTATATATGCTTGTAAAACGAAAGAAAGAAAGCTACCAGTATCAATTAGTTGAGAAGGGGTCACCGCCACGGGACACGGTGGTTGCGAAGAGAGGCGAACGGAAAGTGGAAAAAAAGTGCAGAGGAAAAGTGAAAAAGAATCAGATATTAGGGTGAAGAGGTGAGCTATGAATATGGACAACTCATTACCTTGGAAGAGGTGAGCGCCGGACGGACCACCGGAGAGACCCACTTGAAGGCCAGAGAGACCGTAAGGAAAAATTGAAGGGAGACCCACTTGAAGGAGCCAAACAATTGGAGAGGGAAAGGAGGGAACTATAATATTGGAGGAAAATGTGAGCGGGAGAGGAAAAATTAGAGGTACCATGCGATGCAGTGAAATTGAGAGAGAAAGGGAAAAGAGAGGGATTTTTTAACCTAACACCTATATCCTAAAACATAGAATATAATCTAAAAAAAAAAAAATTATACACAATACGTAAACAAAACAAAAACATAATCAAAAATAATAAGAATAAAGACTATAAAATATATATATATATATATATATATACAATAGAATATAAATATCAAAAATAAAAAATTAAATAATAAAAATTATTCTATTAATAAAATTCACAATTATAGTGAAATAGAGAAATACTAATATAGTTAAATAAAAGCGAACAATCATAATATTCTGTAGCAGAAATCAATAAAAATTTGTGAGTCTTACACTCACAATGGTTATAAGAAATCTTGAAACTTACTTACTTTCCCTCGCAAATAACTATGAAATTTCTAAATTTAAAAATTTTGCCAACTTTTTTTTTGGTAAACATAGGATTGCCAAAATTTAAAAATTATATATGTGTTTTCTGTTTTTGTTTCCTCCTCACCATATAAAGCAGTGTTTTAAAATTCCCCACCCAGCCCCCCGGGTTGACCTGAGTCAACCTTGACCCATTCTGTATGAGGGTTGGAGTCACAAGTTAGACCCTCTATGCACATCGACCCCTCCGACCCCCAAAGTCGTTAAAGCCCAACTACAAAGACCAATGCCTTTTTTTGGTGGCATCGGAAGCATGTGTCACTTTTTATTTAATTTGTACAGTTATGATGACGAGGGTGGATGGAAAAAGAATCTTTCAGACATTTTTTTCTACTTCTCACTATTGAACAATTTTTACACACACCTTAAATATCAACCTATGTAGCACCGATACAACACGCGACACATGACACGACACGACACGACACTCCGACACGTCAATCCTAAAAAATTATAGATTTTGACACGTTGGAACATGTTTTAATATTAAATAATAATTTTAATTTATATAGTGTATATTTCATTTAATATTTAATAATTTAATAAAAAATAAAACTAAATTAATAATACACATCAACACGTTATAAAGATGGAAGCTTTAATAAAAAATAAGAACTGGGATGAGAGAAAGATATAATATCAGATAGAGAGATCAAATCATATTAGAGAGAGATCAGAGAAAAGAAGATACAACAAAAGCGTGATAGGAATTAACAACAATGATACTGAGATGATCTTTTATATACTTAAGGGGAAAAAAGAAAAAAAAATTGATATGATCAGGTGGAAGCTTTATTAATATATTTTAATTTTTTTTTTAAAAATTATAAAAAAAAATTTAAAAAAATTACCATAATGCCATTTGACCGTGTCGAACACGGTCAAATTCGCGTGTCGGAATGGTCAACGTCTCGGAAAAAGTTGACCGCGTGTCCGACAGCGTGTCGGAGCGTGTCGGACACGACTCTCCCTGTTTTTACAAATGTCTGTGCTTCCTTGATATCAACAGAGTCATATCTTTCCTATGACTAGCTGACATAGGCACTACTGTCACTACATGCACTCAATGTCTGCCACAAAGGATGCGGCGACATATTTAATGACTTTTTCTCACACGCATGATGCGGCGACCAATTAATGCCCTTATCCCTTTTACATTTGATTTATATATTATTTTTGAATTTTGTGAGGGAATATATTCTCTTTTTCCCTCGCAATTTGGGAGGGAATATATTTCCTCGCAATTTACGAGGGAATTTGTGAGGGAAATTGTGAAATTTCAGTTGCAATTTTCAGATCATAAATTTTGCGAGGGAACTTCCGTCGCCAATTTTTTTCCTCGCTGTTTCCGTCACAGACTTATGATTCTTGCGAGGAATTCAATTTCCCTTGCAAATTGCGACGGAATTGCGACCGAACTGCAAGGGATTCTACGACGGCAATGTAGTAACGGAAATCTTGCCTATTTTCCCTCGCAATTGTTTTTCCTTGCAAATTCTGTCGCAGTTTGCAAGGGAATTTTTCCCTCACAAATTTCCCTTGCTATTCGCTACTTTTCTAGTAGTGAGACTATATGCTGTTAGGAAGCATAAACCCTTGTCTTTTGACCGATGCTATGATCCATTGATGGCTGCAGTCCATACACAAGATATTTAAAGTCATGAGATGTCATGACCCTCTGAAACTTCTATTTTCTGTTTATATGCTTGAGGGTGAGGCACATGACTGGTGGACCAACACTTATAAATCTATAGAGAGGGAAGGCCGAGAAATCACTTGGCTTGTATTTGAACGTCTGTTTCTTGAACCTACTTTTCTAGGGAGGCTAGTGAAAGGAAGCAAAATGAGTGTAATGAGCTGAAGCAAAGATCAATGACCATTGATCAGTATCTTGCAAAATTCAATTAATTGGTGAAGTTTGCTAATTATGGCCAAGCGTTGCCATCTATAGAAGATCAAACTGCTAAGTTTAAGTGGGGGCTAAATGAGAAAATTTTTAGAAAGGTTGCTAGTAATGGATCTAGATATTTCACAACTCTAGTGGAGCAATGTTGAAAGGTTGAAGACGTCTACAAGGTGCTGAAGAGTAAGAAGACTTCTAAGGTGTAGGTGTCTGATTCTACTAGAGCAATTGACTCTGGTTATTGGAAAAATAAGAAAGTTGAAGCAAAGAACAAAGGAAAGAAGTTGCAAGTTAATTAGTCTATGGATAAGTTCAAAAAGCTCGGTAATCCAAAGAATACTTCTTTTGAGAAACTTTTTTTCAAGTGTGGAGGGTGTGATAAAGACCATTGGGGACAATGTTCCATTGGACAACTGATTTGTTATAAGTGTGGAAAGACTGGCCATTATTCTCTGGAATGTCCTCAACGTGACATGAGGTTTATGCTGCTCAAGCTCTTGTTGTTCCAGTTGCTAAAAATTGATTTGTTATAAGTTTCATGAAGACATCTCTTGCTAAAAATGGCTACAACTCTAAGTTCCAAGCTAACCCTTTCTCTCCATGAAGCCACGACCAACTTAAAGGAAAGAAAAATGAAAAATGAGCATGGGAGACTTACACCACAAGGCTGCCGACTTAGATTAAATAGGTAATAAGGAAGCTTACTTGTTTCTTTATTGACTTGTCAACCCCTTTAGTTTAATTTCCATTGGCTGATTTGATAATTCACTTAAGATCAATAAAAGAAAGAAAGATACAGCTGCAAATTGGAAGTGCCAACCGACTTATATGTTAAAGTTTTAACCAATTAATCCAATTCATAAGTCCTTGACTTTTCTACACATAATCTATTCTCATTGGTTGTTTCTTACACATCCTTGAATTTACTTTCATTAGATACTTAACATACTTGAAAAGAAAGAAAGTAATGTAGATGAGGCTTAAGGGAAGTAACCGACCAATTAATTGAAAATAACTAAGTAATTTAGTTTCAAAGTTCATTGATTTTACAACTTCCTTTTAAATTCTTATTGGTTTATAATTAATTTATCTTTGACTTAATTTTAGTAATTATTATAGACATCATCTAATTAAATTAAAGGTACTTTAAACCCACTAATTTTGCTAAACTATTTTATTATACATTATAAATAATAATTAGACGACTTATTTCATCTAACTATTAAAATAACCCTAATCTTTTACTACAATAGCATCCATATCCTCACATATAATCCATAATAATATTTGGGTCTCAGTAGACTTGTCTGGCATGAACTAAATCCTTAAACTAATTATCATATTTATTATAACACCTCACATATTTAAAATATATTATTAATGATTGAATTGTGGATTAGAGGATTTAATTAGTGAAAATCCTGAATTTCAGGTGAAAATACACTCGAAGGGAAAAATGGTAATTTGACAATTTGAGTAACCCTAAAATTATGAAATAGTATAATTAGACATTATTTGATAAAAATATTATTGAATTTGGATTCAGAACGAAATTTGAAAGTGGATAGATACTTTTTTGGAAAATTGATGAATAATGATTTTTACCAAATGGAATACCGCAATATAAGTTTACTGAAAAACTCGGAAATGAAATTATTGTTCTGGGTTTGGATATATGTTGAAAGGGGTATTTAGAATCAACAAAAATTAACTGAGGAATTATTTGAGGAATTTTGATGGTTTTTGGAAAAATACAATTAGTGTGAGTATAGGGGCAAAATGAAATTATGCAAAAATTATCCAAATCTTTTAAATAATGTAGTGTGACATTATAAAACTATAGTTGTGTATCTTGAATTCAAGAAAATACCTAAAATTTTTAATTATTCAAGAATTCAAGTAGAATAATTAAGTAAATTGAATTTAGATATTTTCTAAATTTTTTCAAAAAGTCAAATAAAGTGACTAGGCGTATTTAATCATGAAATCAGCCATTTAAACTCATCTTCTTCCTTCTCCTTCAGGCCTTGGCTGAACCCACCATTGAAGGTGAGCTTGGATTTGCAACTTTTTATTTTGACACTGAATCAAGAAAGTTACAACATAAAAAATACCCAAAATTACTTGGTGATCAAAAACCCTAAA